TTAGGGAGATTCCTTTGTTTAATTCATCTGTGTGTCTTTGCTGAAAGAAACAAGCTGTTCAGTTTGGGAACACAGGGACAAGTGGTTCAGCTTCAGGAATTCAGAAGGTCTTTGCGGTTGGAGCTAAAAGCACTGATGTTGGCGAGTGTTCAACAGGTAGGAAAAGTAAGCCTTTTAAGGGATGAAATGCAATTGTTCACCATTAGAGAGAGAAAGAGCTATCAGAGGTATTTCTGAATTGGTGGCACTGAGCCAGCGCGCAGTGAAGCCCACACTTGAGCTGCAGTGTCCAGAGATGTGAAGTACTTAAGAAGCCATGGAGGATCACATAGCTGGAGGCAAGAGGAAGAACCCCAATTTAGCTCATACCTCAGGGGATAGTAAGGCCAGTGAAAAGAAGAGGAATTCATTTCTGACAACCGTGTACTTTGACTTGGTCCTAGAAAGCGAAAGAAGCTTCAAGAGCTTGACATGTAGACTAAAACTTTTCAAGGTGCAGATGAAGGAAAGAAGCAAAATTCATAATGGGAAAAAAAAGAGTTGAAGAGTTCAGCTTTAAAGTATAAGCATTTTTAATGTCAATTATAATTATTGACCTAAGATGGTATTTAGTTAGCAGTGTTCATTTTGTCTGACTATTGCTCAGAGAACTCTTGTTAAAATTGTGGATTCTTGAGGCTTTATTCTTTCAGTAGATAACCGGGTTTTGGAATTTACTTGACTCAATTAGAATCACAACAGTGTGCTTCAAAAATAATTAATTCGGTCAAGTGCTACATTATTTCAACATAAGCTGCTCCATAAATACAAGGTTCATTGTATTGTTTATATCTTCCCATCTGAATGTAACATTACCTTCCAGTACTACTACTCACCAGAATATATTGCAATTCCAAAGCTGCAGGGGTGAGATGTCCTTTGCAATCACTTGGCCAAAGTCACTTGATTCTGCATGGGGTGGGGTGGGGTGGGGGGGCAGCTGAGAAATTGCATGCGTTGCACAGCTCAAATACTGTACCTGATTAACTACAATTTCACCTTTGCAGAATGACCATTCTTCATAAACCTAAATTAATCTAAAACTCTGCTGTCTGTATATTAAATCATGTTAAAAACACTAGTTAGGTCCCAACATGAGGACTGTATTGTGGCTAATTCTGGGCACTGCATTTTAGGAAGGGCTTCAAATCCTGAAGAAACGGAGCAGAGGAGATTTAGTAGAATGGCACCAGGGATATAGTATGTCAGATATAATAGAAAACTAGAGACAACAAGGTGCAGACAACAGGCCAAGCAGCATCATAGGAGCAGAAAGGCTGAAGGGTCTAGGCCCGAAACGTCAGCCTTTCTGCTCCTATGATGCCGCTTGGCCTGCTGTGTTCATCCAGCTCTGCACCTTGTTGTCTCGGATTCTCCAGCATCTGCAGTTCCTACTATCTCTAATAGAAAACTAGTGTGGGTTCAGATTTTTGAGGCATTGGGACCAGATATGGAGCCAAAGGCATCCATCCAAAAGAGATTGCTTCAGACCTGTGGATGTGTAACCCATGTACTCGCAGTTCACAAATGTGTTTGCGAAGGATTTAAACTGAATTGACAGGGCACATGTACAAGTGTAGGACAGTAGTAGAGAAGGAATTTGTACCATATTAATTTGGACTAAGAAACCAATGAAGAAAATGCAAAGACAGGTTTGCAGCTAAGGCATGTAAATGCACAAGGTATGATGAATAAGGTCAGTGAGCTACAAACACATGTAATTGCTTCAGAACATGATGTAATGGGGAAAAAAACATAAATTTGATTGTAATGTACTAAGGACTATTATTTACAAGGATATTAACTGTTCAGGAAACAGAGAAGGGAAGGAGTGGTGACAATATTGATTAAGAAAGACATCACAGAATTGGAAAGAGTCGTGCTCTTAAGGAGATAGGGACAGAGGCCATTTGATTACAGTTGAGAAGCAAAAAAGAGATAAGATCATTCTACTGGTTATGTTAGAGTGAGTGACGGAAGAACTAATCAGCCGGGAAAGCAGAGAAATATGCAAGTAGTAAAGTGGTGATATTGGGGGACTTCAATTCCCCAAATATTAATTTGGATAATTTTAAAGTAACAGTAAGGAGAAGGACTTGCTGAGGACAACTTTTTTGATAAGCACGTTTATCCAAAAAGGAAGCATTTCTGGATCTGGTGCTGGGAAATGAGGTGGACCAAGTATATGCGGGCATATGTGGCTTAGATTGATCATCACAGCATAAGATTTTAGGCTAGAGATGGAGAAGAACAAGGAACAATCCAACTTAGAACTAATTTGGAAAAGGGACAAATGTTAATGTGGTGAGAATGAATCATGTCAGTGTTAAATGGAACTGGAGATTGACAATGGGTGATCTTTAAGAGATGTTTCATGTACAGGCTAGGTTCTATCCAACAGAAGTGAAATGTAAGGGAGACAAAGATTAGGCTTCTCAGATGACAAGGGTGACAGAGATTATGATGAGAAAAAGGACTGAGTGGGCCCTGTCTCTTCAAGGGGAAGGAAAATCCTTGCCATGCAGAACTTTAAATTGTTGGGGTTTGGAAGACACCACCTAAATTAGTGATGGAAGTATATCCAATAGCAACTTCAGAAGCTGCTTGGTTTGATAGCCTCTGTCCTGCCCCAAGCATCAGTGATTAGCACCGCCGCCTCAAAGCGTCAGGTACCCAGGTTCAATCCCAGCCTCGGGTGACTGTTTGGAGTTTGCACATTCTACCCGTGTCCACATGGTTTCCTCCAGATGTTCCAATTTCATCCCACAGTCCAAAGATTTGCAGATTAGGTGAATTGGCCATGGTAGATTGCCCGATAGTGTCTTGGAATATGCAGGCTTGATGAGTTAGCCATGGTAAATGTGGGGTTACGGGGATAGAGTTGGGGGACAGGGTCTGGATGGAGTGCTCTTTAGCGGTTGGGTGCAGACATGATGGGGTGAATGGCCTCTTTCTGCACTGTAGTAATTCTACGACTCGATGATATCTGAAAGAGAGAGACATTTACAGGACCAAATTTGGGGGGGGGACTGGGCCAAATTACTCCTTCACAGAACTAGCATGGCCATCCTTCTACGCTGCATTATTCAATAATAGTCAAAATGTAATGAATCAGTATCAATTTTGCCAAAAGACCTCCTTCCACATCAAATAAGGCATAAGCTGAGCGTACACAACACATTATTTCAAGAAATTACACATCTCTCACAGGCTGTTTAGCCTTAGCACCCAATTGTTTCCCTTCAAACACGACGGAAGACTATTTGCTGAACTTTTTTGTCATAACCGGCAACATTCCATTGTGTAAACAGCACACATCAGGTCTGCAGTACATAGATAGTTTCCTGATAACTAGATCCCTGCAGTAGTCGTTACACTTTCAGCACTATATTAGATTTATGACACAAAGTCAGTATCAGGCAAGACAAAACATCTGGCCTGTCATTGCCGCCTATCCACAGGTTTTAATTTATACAATTTGCTCTGATGAAATATATAACAATAGCCATAGATCAAGCACAAAGGCATGGATTTCAAAAAGTAGGCCTCAGTTTACTTTGAAATTAGCATCGTGGTCAAGCACCCACGGGCCGAAAATTGGACGTCATAAGTTGACCCACAGCTGGAGAAATCAGTCCTGACAGAAAATTGGCCTAAACTAAATTAAATAGCAACCAGCAGCTAACAGCTATGGAAAACAGTAGAAACCAAGGTCAAAGAGGTTAAAAAGATTCAGAGAGATCCGGTTACAACCAGGCGAAGGGCTGTGTACTGGAGAAGTGTCGGTCAGACGTTCTGGCATGTTGACTGCCCGAGGATGTGCACTTTACACCTCCTGGCATGGCAACAGTGAAGGGTATTGGCACAACCCCATTGGATGATTTGAACCAAGCTTGTCGCCAAAGGCCAAAGGCCACAGAACATTATGGAAGGTCAAGGGTGAAGGAGGATAAGAACCCAGACGTCATTCCCACAATGAAGTCAGTGAGGACTTAGCGAAGACTCACAGGGAAGATCTGTACCAAGACTCATGACAGAAGACTATGCAGCAACTCCAGACAACCCAGGAGAAGATCTGCCCTGACCCGCAAGATCCACCTTTGTGGAAGACAGCCAACCTTATCTGACTGATATATCAAAGAGGAAGGAGATTTCAACAGCTTCAAACACATGGATTGTGGCGGGTAACATCTCTTCTCAGATGGACAGAGCTAGATAGAGAGTAAATATTGTGGGAATTGGGGAAATGCTCAGCATTTTAATAAGGACCATTTTGCTAATAAAATCAAGTTGAACCACAAACCAAATTCTGCTCCCTTTGTCCGCCTCACCTTCAACAGCAGTTGGGAAAGAGCTTTTAATGGTTGACGTGTCGAAAGCACATTTAACAGGATTATTTCGTTTATCCCATGTGGGAATCGGTAATAAATGCTGGGTTTGCCTGAAACATTCTCTTCTCATAAATAAAATCAGACAGGCTATCTGATACTATCTAATAGTATGATCTTAATGTGGAAGTGGTACTTTGCAGTCATGTTAATGCACCGTAACACACTTTGGCCGAAATTCCTTCAAGTACAGAAATAATCAAGTGAGCTATGGGTACAAATTGAGCTTGCCTGGGGTGGATGGTTGTTTCATAAAACCGAAAGACTCCTTCTGACACATTTCTAGAAATGCAACTTGGAACCTTGTCTGAAATGAATATGGGACACTATCACCCGAGAAAGTTTTTCAAGCAACACAACGGAGCTATCCATTCCGTCCAGGTTCCTGAACATAAAATTACAGCATTCTTATTCTTTCAAATGGATTAGTTAAATTCATATATGAAATGGAGTATTGGAATCAAAGAAAAAACATCTTATAGATAGCAAGTTACACGCAAATATAATTTACCATAATGACCATTAGGATAAAGCACCAACAACTAAATCTGAACCAGAATTAATTATTTTTACCTCTGAAAAGATGCGTTAATTGTTCGTTCAGCAAATCTGGAGCTTCTTGAAGAATTTCTGAAACTATTAGCGTGCTGCAGGATCCAACTGGCTCCAGGACAATTTCACACTGAGTAGAATGGAATCGTTCTTGTTCATGATAGTCATGGTGATCGATTATTTTGATAATAGCTGTTTCAAGTGCTTTATCATCACTAAAACACATCAGAGGTACCAGCTGTAATTTTATATTGTCCACATGTTTCCATACATACAGTAACAAATCAAAAAGCAAGAATTGCAAATTTTAAAAAAAATTAGGAATATGCAGATTGACTTAGCAAAACTCTGGTCACAAGAAACAAACCTACAAGCTCCATTGTTCAAACTGTTTTCCTGCGTAGCTTTGTTCAAGAACACAGTTAAATTAAATCAGCCCCATACTGTAAACAGTGCATTACTTAATCAATTAATTCCAAATATTAAATATGCCAAACAGATTATTTGTGTAATTGTTGTCTATATGACACTACTGGTTTAAATTAGCTGCCTTTAACTAATGGAAATTACATTAAATCACTAATGGGACGAAACTGTTATTGTGTGGTACCAATAAATAAACAGTTTTCCTATTAAGTGTGCACAAGATCAAAAAAAGTGTTTCTTTTATATATTGCTGTACTTTTTTAAAAAAGATGCCATGTAATCCAAATTATTCTTCAAATGGCACTTTCATTCTATCATTCCTTTGCAAATATTTAAGCATTTAACTCTACTAAAGCATATTTTTTAATGAAACATACACCTATTTGTTCCCACGAATTTGACTAATTAATGTGGAAACATTTAAATTTAGTTATTTCAGTGATGTTAAAAGAAGATAATCTATAAGCCATATATGAATGGCATTAGTTTTTATTTAGCAACCATGAGTTTTTATCTTAAAAAAAAAGAGGGTAGGAAACAGAATGTTACCCAAAAAGGGCAACTCTTCCATTACTCAGTTAAAAACTTTGGAAGTGTTGAAATACTTTAAATATCAAACAGTGCTCGGCTCAATGAGTCATAAATCTCTACCCCAGTAATCAAAATATTGGCAAGCATCCAGAAGAGAATAGCAAGCTTGACAATGGAGAGTAGTATTGATTAAATGAAACCCATGCAAGCTCTTTCATTTCACAACGTGCATTTTGGTTTTACAACCCATTTTGTTTCCCTGCCATCATACTTCCTCACTTACGAGGGCGGGGGAGCTCTAGGCATTGACTTGTAGCAGGCAGGTCAACTTACCAGCTATAAGCAATCCTGGAAAATTCACTCAAGTGAAAGGAAATTAAATTGTGCTGAACAATTATATCATTGAACAAACTCAAATCAAGAGTTCTCTTGCCATATTGATACCAAAACCTAAGGTTTGGATCACTAAGGTTCTGCATTAGATACAGGAAAGTTAATACCGAATGTAAACAAAAAGACTCTTATCCAATTTCTTAACTTGTGGATTTCATTGATTCAGTTGGAAATTCAGACTTGGTTTTAAAGGTCAATATGTTTAAAGGTTAATGACAGTTGGCGGAGGATCAGAACAAGCTCTGCAATGACTCCAGCTGAAATCCTTTGTAAAAAAAAAAAATTTCAAAGAATTCTATGACTGAGTTAATACTTATATAATGTGTAGATAGTCAAATCAATTTGTAAGATCTTTGTAATTTGCAATTTATAGTTTATAGTTGATCACAGTTCGCCTGCTAATTCATGTTTAGCGTATGTTGATTCCAGATATTAAGTGGCTATCCAAGATTGTGTTTCATATTTGCTTTATTTGACTCTTGTATAATAAAAATTCTTCTTGTTCAAACTACATAATTTTCAATTTTCACTCCTTTAGTAAATAACAAAATTACAAGTTTACTTTATTAAAAAGAAAGTAGTTACAGGTCCCCGCAAGATTTCAATAAAGGGGCTACAGGTTTGGAGGAACAGGACGTGGCCCCATTATCATTCCCATAAGAATCAGCACAGCAAAAGAAATGGAAGCGTACTTGGATGTTATATCCTGCAGACAGAGTAACTCTAATAATGAATTCGAGTTAAAAGTTGGATTTCCCACCTAAGAAACAGAAACACATTTCCACTCTCCCTCCATTAAGGTTTAATAATATAGTCTCTGAAGTAAAACAAGTGGCTATCACGTATATCAAAAATATCATACACATTGTGATCATCAGGGTACCATTGAATTTTTTTCTTGTTCATTAAGAGCTTAGGAATGCCTTTGCCTTTTTCCTAGATGATTATTGTACATGTTATGCTTACTAACTTCACCACTCATATTAACCACATTCTCTCATTTCAGTAATGAATCTGTGAGCTGTAAGCATAATTGTGAATCATCATTTAGCTTACTTCTGCCTTTTAGAAGACTCTTGCTTGTTAATGATGTTTCAAATAAATATTGATATTTATTAATTTTGCCTAAATTATCCACCTCCGACGGCCTTCTTTTTGGAAGGTATGCTCCAAGTGTGTCTTTCTAAAATTTGCACTTTTTCAAACGAAGTAGTTTTTTTTTAAAATATAAACTGCAAAATTAATTCCATTACCAACTTAAAATTCCAGAAAATTACAAGCTTCTAATAGAGAGCTAGTATATTCTTCAACAGAAGAACTTCTGACTACCAGATTAAAAAAAAATTAAGTCAGTAACTTTCACTTTTAAAGTAACTTGACTCCAAAAATTGGTCAAGTTTTATTCAGATGAGAGGCTATAAAGCTAAAATGAAAATAGACCCAGCAATAACGGTTCTCCCACTCACATTCCAGGCAGAGTCATCCAATTGCATTAATAAAATCTGGGCCTCCCAATTCAGTTGAATAAATAGATTTTCTCTCCTTTTATAATCAAAGGCCAAAAAAATCCAAAACTTTGACATATAAATTAACACCAAAATCAACTCCTGTTTAAATTATATTAAATGAAAATGACAGTTTTGAATTACTGTACCTCGTCAGCATATTATGATCAACTAGTGTTAAAGTCAGCTTCCCCTCTCTGTTTAAGAAATGGAGATCAATTTCATCTCTGAATATTAAAGAATCATCTGGGATATTCAATTGTTGCAAAACCAGCACAACTTCAGTGCGAAGAGGAAATTCCGAACGTTGTATATTCAGAACAGGCACATAAAGAACATCAGTTGATTGGGTCTGTAGAGGAAATACATAGAATATAATTGCCGCAATATTTTAAATTGAAAAAAAATTTGAATATACTTTCTCCTATTAAATCTCTAAAATCCTGACAAGTTTAGAAAATAAGAAATTCCTCGAAGAAAGTTATAAACTAATTTGGCAGTAGTACACACATTTTACAACTATAATTACTGAACTTATTTCCACTTTCATTTAAGTGCATTTTACAATTTTAACATTAGCTTGATAACACCAGAGCCAACAATGTGATATTGGAATAGATCTCACCAATTAGTGCTGTAGCCAAATAGACATAGGAGACAGAAGTCAGAAATTTGAGTGTGAATGTCAGAATGGGGCCTCTAATGGACAGTGGTAATGTCCCGACCTCTTAACCAGGAGGCCTAGGTTCAAAACCCAGCTTCTGAGGGGTGACCTTATGAAGGTTTATAAAATCATGAGATGTATGGATAGGGCACATAGCCAAGGTCTTTTTACGTTGGCACGGGAGTCTAAAACTAGAGGACATAAGTTTAAGGGCAGATGGAAAAGATTTAAAAGGGACCTCAGGGGGCAACATTTTCACACAGAAGGTGATGCGTGTATGGAATGAGCTGCCAGAAGTAGAGGTGGAGCTGGATACAATTAGAACATTTAAAATGCATCTGGATGGGTACAATAAATAGCAAGGATTTGGAGAGATCTGGGCCAAATGCTGGCAAGTGGGACTAGATCAGTTTAGGATATCTGGTTGGCATGAACAAGTTGGACCAAAGGGTCTGTTTCCATGCTGTACAATCTATGATTCTGTCGCTAAAAGGCTTTAAATTGGAGTAAACAGCTTTTAATTTTGTGTACAAAATGGCAGAAACTTACATGATCACACTGGGTCCCCCATCTCCATGATTTTATAAATCCTTTTTAGCATTTTGGAGAATTTACATTATGATTCTTCTTCAAACCTTTTGCACCTTTTCACACTGACAATGCAGCTTAAGGAAATAATTTTAGTTGAACAATAAAAAGTCTGTTAACCTTCAAAATACTTTTTAAATTAACTCTTCTGCCTTCAACTTTTCCATGCTCATTATTAAATTTATAGTGCTATTTTGGCAATTACCTTAAGGGCGCTTTTCTCACAAATATTTTTCTGAACAGCTTCTCAATTATCAAAACATTTACAATAATGCTGATTTGCCTAACAGGGTTTTATGACTTGTTTTAATTTCTCTTCAATTATGCCTGGAATTTTGCTTTTACAATACAAAATTTTCCAACCTTACTCAGGGATTTAACTCATATCATGTGTCCAATACTGACCATTGTATCCCAGGATTACAATCTGGGCATTTCATCTTGCAGCTTTGGCGAGACTCTTTGTCTTTTCATCAGTTTTTCTTTTCCACATATTTTGCTGTTTCCAACTCATTTGACCTTTTACAGCTACACATATACTACTATCACCCTACAGTCTTTATGTTGCTGGCTACTGCATTCACAGAAGCTGAAAATCTCAGTGTGCTTTTGAGGTGCTGAATGTTTAAAGATCCAGTCAGTTTTCTGACCTGAATTTTTTTTTCTTCTTTCTTCTCCTTGAATGACTGTGACTTTCGTAAAATAGCAGATTTTTTCCACATTGTTCCCACTGTGGCTACTTCTGCCTAAGAAGAGACAATGGATCCCACTACTGCTTGCCATTAATTAAAATGTTGCACGTCAGCACAGCCAACACACTATATGCAGATTCACTGCTATCAATCCTTTTTTTGCTGTTATCAGTCAAATCGCTGATTATTTGAGAGGAAGGCATCACATGGGCATCCTTTGGCAAAAGATTTGTCTCTGATTTCAATACGGGGGAAGATTTATTACATGATACTTAGTAGCTAATTACATCTAAGGTACATAATCGTCTTCTGCAAAACATCAGGCCCAACTTAAAGGTACAGCAACAGCTACATGGCGAACTTGTACAGGACTCTGAAGAACTGGAGGAGTGGTTAGCTCCTCTGAAGAATGGCCCTTCATACCTCATTGACATTACTCAACCCTTTCAGGTCCTAACTACTTTATACAACATCTTCCCTACAAGAGTATGGAGAGTGTAGAGTGGGTAAGACTGTAGTTGTTGTCACAGCTCAGGACTCTGATCATCCTACACTTCACACCTCACTCGATGGCGAAGCAGTTTGCATGACAACTCCATTTCAAGGCATCTGTTAGAAGTCAACATTCTAACATGTGTTCCTCTTCAATCACTGGATCTCTGCAAGTATATGTAGTTGAGAACAACTCAGCACCTCACAGCACCCTGTGACCCGCACAATAATGTTGGCTGGTAGCCAGAGAGCAACAACTGTCACATACAACACAATTCCTCTACAAGAAGGAAAGAGGGAAGGTTGGGAAGGCGTTCATAAAATATATTTTTTTTCATAAAAAGTCAACTTGTTTCATGAACCTCCATGGCAAGGGAGACATGAACCTCGACCTTGTGGCCCCAGTGTAAGGTCACTACTACTGTATTACAACAGTTCCTTAAAATCCAGAACCAGTTGCATCCATTCCATAAAAGCCTCAAAGCAAGAATCTTACCCTGAGACCAACAACCTGCCTGACTTTTAAATGCCCCTAAGCTACTGTGTGGGATTTGCACCAGCAGGTTTCCAACAGAAGCAAATCACTGCAGGTGCTGTGGTTACTTTGGTAAGTATCGTGGGTGGGGAGAGTGGTGCTGTGGTCATTGAGGAATGGGCTAAGGTGTCCCTGAGGGAACAGTCCCTGTAAAATGCACACTAGGGAGTGAGGGGAAGGTGGTGGTGGCATTCTGCTGGAGCTGTCGGAAATGGCAGCAGATGATCCTTTGAATGCGGAGGTTGGTGGGATGAAAAGTGAGGACAAGGGGGACTGGATCACGCTGTTGAGAGTGATGGGAAGGGGAGAGGCAGAAGCACAGGTGATAGGTCAGATGCGGTTGAGGGACCTGTCAACCACAGTGGGTGGGAAGCCACGTCAGCTGCACTGTTTTCGAAGGTGGTATCATCCAAACAGATACGACAAGGGCAAAGGAACTGGGAGAATGGGATAGAACCCTTACAGCACGTGGGGTGTGTAGAGCTATGGTGAAGGTAGCTATGAGAGTCAGCAGCTTTGTAGTGGATGGCAGTTTATTCCCTGAAATGGAGACACAGAGGTCAAGGAAAGGAAAGGGACTTGTCAGAGATGAACCATAAACGTTATAGACGGGTGGAAATTGGAAGCAAAATTAACAGATTTTTCAATGTTCAGGGAGGAGCATAAAGTGGCTCCAAAACAGTCGTTGATGTACGGAACAAAAGAGTTGTGAGAGGTGCCTGTGTAGGACTGGAACAAGGATTGTTCCACATACCCCATAAAGAGACCGGCATAACTGGGACCTGTGCAGGTGCCCATAGCCACTCCTTTAACTTGGCAGAAGTGAGTCGAATTAAAGAAAAATTGCTCAGTGAAAGAGCAAGTTCAGCCAAGGAGAGCAGAGTGGTAGTGGATGGGGATTGCTCAGGCCTCCAGTCGAGAAAGAAGCTGAGAGCTCTCAGACCATCCTGGCGGGGAATGGAGGTACACAGGGATCGGACATTAAATGGTGAACCAAAGGCAGTTAAGGCCACAGACCTGGAAATCGTCATATTGACGGAGGGCATACGAGGAATCGCAGGTGTAGGTGGGCAGGGTCTAGGCAAGTCGAGAGAGGATCGAGTCAAAACAGGAGGAAATGAGCTCGGTGGGGTAGGCACAGGCTGATATGATGGGCCTACTGGGACCGTCTGGTTTGTGCATTTTGAGAAGAAGATAGAAGTGGGCTGTCTGGGGTTCCAGCATGTCTCTGGTCTCTGGATTACCAGTAATATTACGACTAGCCACCTTCTCCAACCTACCGACATTTATATAATGCCATTCAGGTCTTCAGAATATTCCATGTTGCCTAATAGCCAATAGATTATTTCCTTAAATTTGAACACTTCTTAAGTAGACAAACACTGCAGCAAACACAAATCGTAATGATCAGTCGGTGCTTTTAGTGTTAAGCTATTACTTATCATCTCGAACAGATGATTAACATCTTATCTAAAAACTGCATCATCCTTACTACTGCATTATAGCTCCAGCCTAAGTTATATTACCTACATCATAGCTGATAAACATTCCATTGATGTAGTAACATACCGATTCCTCGAATTTCAGACTGGCTGGAATCTTTCCTCTACGTGTAAGAAACAAGGCAGGAAAAGAGATAGTAAGAACTGCCGATGCTGGAGTCTGAGGTAACACAGTGTTAAGCTGGATGAACACAGCAGGCCAGGCAGCATCAGAGGAGCAGGAAAGCTGATGTTTCGGGTCAGGATACTTCTTCAGGAAGGACCCTGGAATGCATTTGTTCAGGGCATGTTGCGTTCAGTGAATATTCAAGTATACCAATTTTCACTTATTTCACCCTCAGGATTTCAAAATAACCATATGATCAAGTCTTGGATTTGGGTTGAAACCTACAATCTACTGACATAGAATCCTGAATGCCACTAAGCCAAGCTGCACAAGACTCGGATGAGGAGTACTGAACGGAGACATTTCAGGAGTAATGATGCTTGGATGGCCATGTGGATGCTTTTGATTATTTCTAATTTTGAATTATTTTATACTATGTTTAAATTGAATAAGAATGACATACAACATTTTCTGGACAAATTTCGTTCTTCAATGCCATTCACCAAACAATCAGTGCATAAAGAAAAATGCAGATATACATTCTCAGGCTTGTCAGTCCCTGGGCTGAATCTGACATTTTATGACTAAGTACAAGTTAGAGGGATTCCCACCTTAAAGTCGAGAGAGATTTTTTGCCATATCTTACAAACTCATGTCATTAACCACCTACTCTGCCCCTATAGCATCCATCATGACAGAGTTTAGCCCTACCTTACCATGCACCATTCCCAGAACAACTTGCCTGAAAGCACATATCCCAGATTTCTCCAGCG